CTTTTGCCAAATCCTCAGTGTTGTGATACTAATCCACACACAATCATGAACTACCACCAATTGATTCTATTAAAAAAATTTAAATTACGAATATGTAAAAACACGATGCGAAAAACTAAACGCCTGCGCACAGCTGGAATACGACAAATATTTGAAGAAAGAGTGGAGAAATGATCCATAACTTGCAAAACATTTTTCGTTTCTACAAAAATAAAGCGAACACTATTAAATTGAAGAAACAGTCCATGTCCAAAAACCCCGGAGGAACACTGAAGGAATTCTGTGTTTTAAATTAGCATATTTTGAACGAATTCGGAATGTCTAAGGTGGAAAAGAACCCAACCTTTCTATAAGGAAACAATTATAGAAAAAGAATTTTCTTACACTGTATTCATGACGACGACACTATTTATTAGATGGCACATTCAACGAGCCAATGTGCCAAAATGCGGGTATAAACAATTATTGATTATTTAATATCGGACCTTTTTCATCTATTAAAAAACAACACTTACGGGGCAATGTTTATTGTAAGAACAACATTTTTTTCTATGAATCGACATACTTTAAGCATTGTTGACGCTATTTCCATTTGAATGAGGAAATAGCGTCAATGACTTTATTTCTTTATTTATTTATAAGGTAATAATGTCAAATGACTTTATTTCGCACCAGAGTGGGAAATAAAGTCAATTGACCTTATTTTCATTGACCTTATTACCTGTCACCATTTAAATATTTAAAATAAACTGAAAAATCAAAAGAAAGCAGAATCCAAACTAAAACTGAAATAAGAAGAAATTAACCAAACACAAAAAACCCAAGGCCGAATATGAGGCACCACCGCTGATATTGTGGTGCCTGGTGCTGGCCCACCCTCATCCGTGGCTATCAGCGCACCCTAGTGTTGATAGCCCCATACAAAAATCCTAATGTGCCTCCCTAACCCAGGAAAAAGGTGAACATTCCCATTTAATTACAATTTATTCGAATAAATTCATTTTCTTAACCTAATTCTTAAAACTAATTATCCTAACACTAAAAGTTTCTAATCCTATTAATTCTAAAAAAAAAACTAATTTCTAACATCAAAAAAAACCTATCATCTAAAAAGGTAAGTATACTTAAATAACGACGTATGGGTTTTCCTTAAGTCTAGGGGAAAAAAGTAATTAATCAATTAAAATTAAGTCTAAGTTAAGGTAGGTAAGGTAAGAAAGGGTAAGGGGTTCTGGTAGGTAATGTTAAGGTAAGTAATTCAGTAGGGGTAAATATGAGGTAAGTAAAGGTAAGTCTAATTTTTAGGTGAGTAAGTCCAGTAAGTATGATTAGGGTACGTCAAGGTAAGTATAAATCGGGTAGGTAAATTTAATAAATTTAATTCCAATTAAGGTAAGTGAGCTAAAGTAAGTATAAGTAAATTTTAGCCCCTGTTCCTCCTAAATTACTATAATTCTTGGTTTTAAGTATCTTATTCTTTTATTTTAAATCTTTTTTTCCTTTTTCTTTTAGGTTTATTATTATTATTAGTATTATTATTATTTATTAGGGTTCATTATAATTTGATTTATATCGTGGCCATTTTATTTGTTATCATTCTAAATGGTTATTTGTTAAAATTATTTTGGTTGAACTTTCGCGAAAATTTGTATTTTATGTTAATTTATATTGGGATATTTTATTTTATTTATTTTTATTTCGCTTGAATCATTTTTGATTCAGTTTTAGTCAATATGATAACGGGTTAATTAGTTTAATTTAATTACTATTTATTGTTATTTAGTTTATTTTTATTTTAGTTAATTTACCTTTACCAGGTTTGATTCTTAACCAAAAAAAATTTTTTGTTCAAGCAATTTCTAGTTAAATTTCACTTGAGTTTAGTTAATTTAATCTAACTTCACTTTCTCTCACTTTCATTTACTTTAATCCAATTCTACTTTAATTTTAGTTATTTATATTCGTACATATTATTTTTTTTACTTGTTCTTTTAATTCTAACAAATTCAATTCTTATATTGGTTTAGTAACATTAGTTATTCTTATTTGTGATTAATTTAAATTCTATTCGAAAAATTCCCTTAACTCATTATATTAATGTAATTTTAAATTTTAGTTTACTTAGTTTTTTTTTTCTTTTTCTCCTTTAAGCCAGTAATTGTGTAGGTAGGCATATATGTATATCAGATATACATACATATATACCTATGTATATAACTATACATATATATATTGCTATGTATACTACTGTATATCGAATGTGTTAGGGCCCGAAGGACTCACCTTAATGTTGCAGCAGGCTTGCGTGTGGCACTGCTTTTGTTGTTGTAGTCGTTGCTGGTGTTGTGCCTGTTGCTGTGGCAGCCGTTGTTGTTGTCTCGCCCGATTTTTGGTGGCGACGTTGTTGCAGCCGCTGCTGAGGAGTAGTTGTAGTAGTAGCCGTTGTGGCCGACACTCGTTGCTGTCGCTGCTCAGGGCATTGTTCCTGTCGTTGCTGTCTTTGTTGTGTTTACGTTGTTGCAACCGTTGTTGTTACCGTTAAAAGTGGTCGCTACTCGCTATTGTTGCGGTTGCTTCGTTGCAACCGTCGTTGTTGTTGTTGCCTCGCGCAAATTTTGTTGTTGTTGCGTTGTTACAACCGTTGTTGTCGCCTCGCGCAACTTTTGTTGTTGCGTTGTTGCAACCGTTGTTGTTGCCTCGCGCAACTTTTGTTGTTGCGTTGTTGCAACCGTTGTTGCTGCCTCGCCAACTTTTGTTGTTGTTGCGTTGTTGGTAGTGCTGTTTCTGTGAGAACCGTTGTTTGGTCGGAGTAGCTGTGGTTGCCGCCCGTTGTTGTTGTTAGGCGGCCTCTGCTGTACCCGGGTGCTCGCCCCGGTTGATGCCCCCTCTCTGGCGGGTTGCTGTTGGTTAATGGTATATATATTTAATAAGTATACACACATATAAAATGTAATATCAGGTAATAATATAAGGTATATATAAATTGTGATGTAATGATAATGCACCTAGCTATCTCTTCATATGCCTGTTTACTGCTTCCGTAACGCCCGCGCTTGGTGGCGCACGGGGGTGGCAGGTGTAGGCTTCTCCCTGAAGCGGTAGCTCCGATGCTTTTGGTGATCGATATAGCAGACTATGTTCGCACGCAACTATACGATGGTTGAGATCCAGATGTGTTTACCTATCTAGTCACTATTTTCACTTTATTAATGCAGTTGAGACTCAGAAAAGTTAACCTGGTACGTGTGTAATAAAGAAAAAACCACAGTCAGGGTATTCATATAAACTCGTGGCTGCCTCGCATCCGCGCTCGTAAATGAATCGGTTTTCCATACCAAATTTAGTAAGTTTACGGGGTTTACGCGATCACGAGGCACATATGCGCCCAGATGAATGGCCATAGTGTATTTACATGTTAAATATATGAAGGGTTTGTGGATACTTCATACATTCTCCACCTTACTTTTGTGAGTCCTAACTTTTCGGAGTCTCCACTGCACCAATAATGTACTAGCAAATGCTGGAGATTTCAATTAGGGAACCAATAGCTATATCTTTCAAAGTATACAGACTTTTTTTTTTTATCTCGGTGGGGATACTAATGGAGATCTTCTTCACCGAATTTAGCACTTTTACCATGTTGTTGCTAATTGTTGTTGTTGCTAATTGGTTGTTAAAATATCCCGACTACTATCACCAAATTTTAATGTAACACGTCACTTATCACTTACTATATTTATAGTAATATGCCATTATTTAAATGTTCCCATGCATTCGTAATACCTTATATACAACAACAAAAGTAAACACTAGGTATGGGTAACACACCGCTGCGCTACGCAATTGCGCTAACAGCGTATGCGTTTTAAAAGAAACTACCCCACAAATAAGGACACATAATCACGTTTTACACTTCTACTACTTTGTATGTATGTTGAATGCATATAATAAAACTCCGCTAATTGTAAAGACCTTTTTTTTTTGTTTTAGGTCTACAAAGCGTAGGGATAGGGTTTCGGATTTAGAATCACGAGGGACCCGCTCTACACCCAAATTTTTATTTTTTTCAAAGCCTGGTTCCGTATTGGAAAATTTTTCCTGGCAATTTTCATATAAATGTGCACTTACCACTTATATTTGCACAACTTTATCTTTTTTTATTTCAATATTTAATGCGTTTTAATTAAATTAACCGCACGACACAAGTTTAGCCCGTTCTTCACTTAAATCTCGTGTTTCACCGCTCAATCGAATACTTGACATATAAATGGCCGACTATGCGTGGCCCGCAGGTTTTATACCCTTGCACTGCGGGAAATTATGGAAAGATAACGGACTCAGCGGCAATTGGAGCAGTTCCGTTATTTTTTCCAATGGGAATTTGCCGCAGTGCAAAGGAGATTGTCAAAATCGAATGTTCGAGGCGGTCCGGGGCTGCCATCACCCATTTATATAACTCCAACCGGTTGGAGAGCAGCCATTCACCAGCCCCGTTTCCTCACTGGCCGTCTTCACAGGATAATATGTATTACATACGTTCTATCCGAGGCAATATTTGTATAGGCTTTTTATATCTTGATATTACCATTTGTAAGATGGCTTTTAAAACGTATTTTTGTCAGACTTAACCGCCAAAAAGAAAATAAATAACACCTTGAAAATACATCCGAGTACATACTAACAAGCAATTTAATAGGAAACAGCTCGACTTTTGCTTTCACGCTAACGACACACGATCAACCTTGCCTTTCATATTCTTACACACATTGCTTGTCAAAAATAATAAAAATTTGAGGCCATTAGTTGGGCTGAATTCTCTCTGAGAAGCAATCTCATTGTCAACGCGCCGTCCTCAAGAAAACAACCAACTAATCAGCTTTTAGAGGCCACTTGCTATTCTAAATTGCATGGTATGTTAACTTTTTAGCATTCAAAAGCTTAATAATTTTCTTGTTTTCTCTAAATTCGCCTGTCAATGCTGAATAGGCGATAAAAATTGAAGCAAAATTAAGATTTACTTGAAAGGAAAGTTGAAAGCAAGTTTCCCATTCCGTAGAAGAATAATAGTGTGTTAGTGGAAAATGTGAGTGTATTGAAAGCTGAACGTGTAACANCCACTTGCTATTCTAAATTGCATGGTATGTTAACTTTTTAGCATTCAAAAGCTTAATAATTTTCTTGTTTTCTCTAAATTCGCCTGTCAATGCTGAATAGGCGATAAAAATTGAAGCAAAATTAAGATTTACTTGAAAGGAAAGTTGAAAGCAAGTTTCCCATTCCGTAGAAGAATAATAGTGTGTTAGTGGAAAATGTGAGTGTATTGAAAGCTGAACGTGTAACATCGAAGTTATATTCAAATATCAATAATGTGGTCGTCACGAAGCTTTCGTGCAGGCAGCGTAGCTGTCAAACTAGTAAGTTACCGCAATAGATGCCAAGATATAAGCCCCGATATATATTGCTCTCCACATTTTCACATTTGTGTCAAGATATAAAATCAATCCTGTGAAGACGGGCAGTTGCAGACAGTTGTCACAACCGATCCCCAGCATGAACCAAAAATACAAGATCACGTAAGAACGCGACGTTGTATTTGTAACTGGTTTTGAGAAAAAAGTTTGCGAAAGCGGGTTCGTCAGCTGGGCGTTTGTTTACATCACAAGCACCACTATTTTACACTTTTATTCAAGTAAAGAAGAGTTAATTCAACATGACAACACATTTTAAAGCATTTTGTTGCATCATTTTACCTAAATTGTGCGTTTAAAGTGGCTGACAATAATTTTGGCTAATTTTGGTTTTCGTTGTTTTCTTTGCTTTGTTTACTTTTCGCTCGTTTTCCAGTGAAACAAGATGGCGTAGAACCCGCTAAAAAAATCGACTTTTTTCACTCTCTTGTTCTTACGTGATATTGTGTCTTTCGTTCATGGATCCCCAGCCTCCGCGGGAAAGCGTTTATTACACAAAAAGAAGTAACCAAACAAACCTGCAAGAACCAGTGACAATCAGCGGCACTGTCCGAAAGGAACACAGCTGTCGCAAAATGGCAGACCTTCCATGCAGTTTTGGTGTTGCCGTACGCTCTAGAAAAATTATTAGACGGTGAAATTTATGGCACGCTACCGGGTGCGCTACATGTCGAAGAATAAAGTATTTATATTTTATGCGGCGAACAGTAACCCATAACACATACTTGACACATGCCTAAGTGGCTCACTGAAGCTATACTTGTTTAGTTAGGGCCTGTGCCAAATGATAGAAAAGAGAAAATTTTGACGGATCAAAGTAAAAATCTGACATTTCTCGTGGTGAATAAGAACGTCAGAATTTTACCTAGCTCATGGGGCTAGGTAAAATTTCGACAGCTTATAACCATGTATACACATAATATTGCTTGGCGGTAATAAGGAGTGAACATGAAAATGAAAGCTGAAACAGCATAAAAAAAACGTACGTTACTAGCAAATTATAAAATAAATATAAATTTTAGGCAACACACAAAATAAAGCTTTCGCACGAGCGTTTGTTTGGTTTTTCAACTGTCAAAATTTAACTCTGCATTTGGCACAGCAAAATTCAAACACCATAGCAAATTTTTCCACCCCGTCTCACCTCGAAGAAAAAATTTACCGATTGGCACAGGCCCTTAGCGGGTAAGTACTAGAGGTTAGAGTTGTCAAACTATTGCTAGTTTCAATTTTTTTTAGACTATCAATACTCATTGATAGTTTTTTCTTATACTATCAAAAACATCAATAGTTTAGTAGGACTATCCATCATCTCTACCAATTATTTGGAAGTTATTTGAATTTTTTAGTTTGAATTAAAAATTTTGTTTTTTAGTGTGATGCCGACGTCATATTCAAATATGCACGCATTTAGGCCAAAATACATACATATGTTAATCGTAAATCCTGTTTTGTTTGTATAACTTGTGTTTGTTTTTGAACTTTCTAAAAAGAGAACTATTTTGGCTAAGCATTTATTTAATTTTGAATGGTTATAACTTTATAAGATAATATTTATTTCTCTATGATCCTGTAAAAACAAAGCAACCTAACTGATTTAGCGCTATCGATAGTGCTATCGATAGTTTGGTTTTTTTTCGAGACTATCGTGAATATTGATAGTTTTTCTGAAAACTATAAAAACTAGTAGAGGTGTCAAACTATCGATAGTCACACCATCGATAGTTTTGATAGTTTTCAGAAAAACTATCAATATTCACGATAGTCTCGAAAAAAACAAAAATATCGATAGCACTATCGATAGCGCTAAATCAGTTAGGTTGCTTTGTTTTTACAGGATCATAGTTAAATAAATATTATCTTATAAAAGTTATAATCATTCAAAATTAAGTAAATGCTTAGCCAAAATACTTCTCTTTTTAGAAAGTTCAAAAACAAACACAAGTTATACAAACAAAACAGGATTTACGATTAACATATGTATGTATTTTGGCCTAAATGCGTGCATATTTGAATATGACGTCGGCATCACACTAAAAAACAAAATTTTAAATTCAAATTAAAAAATTCAAATGATTTCAAAATAATTGGTAGAGATGATCGATAGTCCGACTAAACTATCGATATTTTTGATAGTATAAGAAAAAACTAGCAATGAGTATTGATAGTATAAAAAAATTTAAACTATCGATACTATCGATAGTGCCATCGATAGTTTGACAACTCTAGTAAGTACTAGGGGTGAATGGTGGCGTTAACTCCCCCTCTTCTAAATCGAAGCGTCCCGTCATCGAATATATAGTTGTAAGTTGATTATTTGATTTGATAATTTTATAAACATTTCATCTTGTTTGGAATTTTTCAACTTAATTTTAAAATCAATACATATGATTAATTTATATATGAAATATATAATAACAGAATTAGTATTAAAGTAGTAAACGACCACCAAATGGGATTTCTTTCTATTTCCTCCTTTATTGGGGTAAGTATATTAAAATATTGCGAGTGTCGACTGGCAGTAGAATAGAAATTTGTCGATCGAGTCGATCATCTTTTATTTTGCTATTGTTTAACTTGATCGATTAAAATTTGTACTATTGTGAATGGTTGACTGAATTGTAAACAGCTGTTTGTTTACATTTGTTTATTTAGCGTTCCATTTACATAATTTTTAAAATAATTGCTTTTATTATAAAATTTAAAAAATTGATACAGTTCAAATATGGTTTAGTGATGAGGAAGATGATGTGGAAGCTAATAGATTAGTAGAGTTGGCTAAAGCAAGGAGGGAATTACGAAATTCGTCGGATTCCTTGGAGTTGAAAGATGGAGTGTATGTACATATGTGAATTTTATGAATAGAAGTTACGTTCCTGATGCTTCACGGTTTGTAAGTTTTACAGGATTTGCAGGAAAAGCTGTTTCCTCATTAATAAACTTTATGGAAGTTTAAGAAATACGGTACGGTTTAGCTATTTATACAATGATGTTGGGTATTTGTGTCGAAACGCGTGACCCGAGTTTAAAAACTTTAACATACAAGTGTAGTGAAAGTATTAAACTTTAAAATAAAGATTTCAAATTTCCGAGCACTAGTTAATAAATTATGCATTTTTTGGAAACTTTGATGTTGGTTCTGCGCAAAAACACTGTGGATGACGTAGCCGGAGTTATATGCACAAGATATATTGCATATCTTTCACAATAGAAGCGCAGCTTCCGGTCCTACTCTTTCCGAAAATTTCTTTGCTTATGTCCTCATTCTCCTGCATCAGCTCGATCAACCGCGCAAGTTGCCTTTTGTTGCTTACAATTTTTGATCTGTAATTCAGACACATACATACATATGTATATTTCAGAGTACCTAGACAAGATGAACAAATTAATAGACGACAAAAATACATACAAAGCAATAAGAAGTGAANAAAGGCAACAAAACAGTAGCTATGTATAAAACAGAGTACCTAGACAAGATGAACAAATTAATAGACGACAAAAACACATACAAAGCAATAAGAAGTGACCCTACGAATGCTCTGCAAAGAAAAAACAACAAAATAGTGGACGAACTTTACAAAGGCAAACACATTAACTTTAGAGAAAAGCAACAGCTCACATGCACCGCAGCCACAGCGCCTAGACTTTATGGATTGCCAAAAATTCATAAGCTCGATGTTCCTCTTCGCCCTATTGTTTCCTCGTTTATGGTCCCCTGTTACCAGCTGTCCAAATACATCGGGGAGTTTTTGAACATGTTAATTTCGGATAAATACAATGTTAAGAATTCCTTCAACCTAAGAGATAAGTTAGCCAATATACGTGTGTGTGATGAAGATGTGTTAGTGTCGTTTGATGTCGTGTCCTTGTTCACTAATATACCAACAATGTTAGCCTCAAAAATAGTCATGAACAAATGGGACCAAGTTAAACAAAAAACCAATATTCCGAAAAAGAAATTCCAAGAAATTTTAGAATTTTGCCTAAAAGACAACAACTATTTCATGTTCAACAAAAAACTATATTCACAAACGTTTGGAATGCCTATGGGCAATCCTATTTCCCCAACAATAGCGGACATAATTATGGGCAACCTACTAGACAATTCCATCTCGGAACTCAAGCAAAAATACAATATCGACATTAAATTTATAGCCAAATATGTGGATGACATCTTTGCTATAATTAAACGCAATGTCACGAATATCATTCTAGGAATTCTTAACAAGTATCACAATAAACTTCAATTTACGATGGAAATAGAGGAAAATT